GGGGTGGCAGGGCCTGCGGGCAAAGGGGGAGAATTTCACCCTCTTGTCCTGCCCAGTCTGGAGGCTAGTGTTGGAAGCAAGAACGAGCAAGCTTCAGGGGCACCCGGCTGGCTCAGTCAGTGTGAGTGTGTGACTCTTGATCTCAGGGTCATGAGTTTGAGCCCCACGATGGCCGTGGAGCCCACTTAAAAAGAACCAGTAAGCTTCAGGCGGATGTCAAAATGGCCCTATGTTTTGGCTTCTTGGTCTCACAGTAACATCTCTGCCAAGTTGGATTGTTTGGAAGCCCGTGATGTCCTCAGATAATCTGGGAGGGCTGGGGCCCTCCCAGAGACGGGCGGTTGCCCTGCGGGGTGAGTAAGCCTCTGCCTGCAGGGCTGTTGGGGGAAGGCTGAACCAATCCCACCCACCCCCACACACACAGCCACACCCAAGCGGCCTCTGGGTGGGACTCGGACCGCTCCCAGGATTCAGGGTGGAAAAAGCGATGTGGTGGGACTTCTGAGCCCAGGCCTCCAAGCCCTTGAAGCGGCGCCTCTTAGAAGCTCTGCCAAGGGATGAGTCTGACTGTCCCCAGCCCACCAGGCTGGGAAGAAGCCCGCGCGGCCGCACCGAGGCATGAGATCAAAGCCTTCTCGGGCCTCCTGGTCCAGCTGAGCCCGGTCATCCCCCAGAATGACGAGTGACAGTCTGCAGCTGCTGGGCCACCTTCTGCTTTGGGGTGGTTTGTTGTGGAGCCTCAGTCCTGCTCCTCACGCGGGCAGCTCCGTGCTCCCGGGAGGACCTGTTTACTCAGTGACGCCCACCATTTCGCCAGCAGGACTCTGAACACTTGCCAGGCAGTAGCGCTAAGACCCTTTTTCTGCCATTTTAAAGCGCACACAGTGTTCACATTTTAATATTTCTGGAAAATGGGATGAAGCTTACAGTGTTACCATTGCAAGGCAGTGTGTGAAAACTGTCTGTTGATGCTTTGGGGGAAAGCTCCAGAGAGTGCCAGTATCCAAGTGTCTTCAATTTCAGAAATACAGAAATAACTCATTACAATATCAATAGCAGCAAATTTGTACGGAACCGTCAGGAGGACAAGACGTTTTCACTGTGATTATGTTGCACAGAAATAAAGACATTAATTATAACCATATAGTAACAGCTGCTGTTCAAGCAGCCCCTGTCCCAGAGGAGCCCAGCTCTATCCCCCAGAGTTGGCCCAGAGAGGGGCAGCGCGTTCCCTCAGGACACACAGCCGGTGGGCTCCCTCGGGACACACGCCCGGCTCCCTGGCCTCTGGGTCCTGGCGGTCGCCGGGTGGGCGGCCAGGCGGTGCAACTCCGTGTGGGGGGCGGTGGGGTCTGAGGGTCCAGACCCCCGGTGCTGCGGGGGCCGCCGGGGAGCGCAGGGGCAGACCCGGAGGAAGGCCTGACGGAAGTGGGAGCCCAGGAATGCGTAGAGCAGCGGATTCAGCGCCGAGTTGCTGTAGGACATGCAGTGTGCCCAGATCTTGAGCGCGTAAGCGGCGTAGCTGCGGGGGTGCCAGGCGCCCGCTGGGCCCACCGCCTGCAGCACCAGGAACAGCTGGATGGGGCCCCAGCAGGCCGCGAAGAGCAGGACCACGGCGGCCACCAGCCTGGAGACCCTGGCCCGCACGGCGCCAGCTCGCTCTGCCCCCAGCTGCCCCTGGGGGATGGAGGAAAGGCTATAGGCTGGCGGGGCAACCCGTCGGAGCTCCCCTCCATTTTATTTATTTGTTCTGTTTTGTTTTGTTTTTTAAAGATTTTATTTATTTATTTGAGAGAGAGAATGAGATAGAGAGAGAGCATGAGAGGGGGGAGGGTCAGAGGGAGAAGCAGGCTCCCCGCCGAGCAGGGA